CACTATTATATTTCGCGATATTCCAGACCAGCCGCTGCTTTAACTGCCTTGGCTGCTAAACACCTTCATAGGCCAGGATGCGTAGGAATTCCAATCTATCACAGCTACAGACCTCGGGTGCGTCTACTCACGTCACTAATCTACCACCGAATTAGAAATAACAACAGTGTTAACAGTAGCAAAATGTTCTTCAAAACTGTTTTGTCAAGTTTCAAGTTAAGAACTACGGACAAATTCAGATTGGCAGGTCGTAAGTTCTACTTCTGCTTAAGTTTTGCCATTAAGAGCTGCGCATAGATTTAAAACTTCTCGAAGCATAAATAAATTGCATTATAAAGTAAAAAATCTCACGCCTCATACTGCTAACCTGCAATCTCTCACTTCTTAATTTAGCGGGCGGGCACTCGCTTTTCCTGCAACCGACAATCGCGTGTGGCAGTCACTTAGCATGCAGCAGAAGTTAATTTTCGTAAGAGGTTTGCCGGTAAAAGAAAGAAAATAAAAACGGCGGTCTAAATTAATTCCTCGAAATGCTACCAATCGCGTTGAAATTGCTGGCAGCAGTTTGTGTGCTTTTTTAGGATACCAATTATCTCTGGGTTTGCCTAGAGTACACTTCTGGCTAATGACGGTTTTCAAGGGTGGAAAACAACGTTCCTGATAAACCAATAAGAGGTATACATCTATGCAGATTTTAAAACGAACTGGATTATTATAGCGTGCCCTAACATACTTTGCAGTGCTCTCGTGGTTGCCGCACCAGGTTAATGTAAGGGAGCAGTGTCTCGGGCGAACAAAACTGAGGTACGTAAATACGACAATCTATACTTTCTAATTTGTCCTTGTAGGAGGAGAAGATGAGTGCATTAGTGAGGAAGACGTCAAGAGGCAGGCTGAGTGAGGCAAAAGGGTCGAAGGCTCGGAATTCGCAGTTGCAGGTAGGACAGACGACCGTCAACTTGAGCATGCCGTAAAATAAGTCAACAATCACGGAGTCGTTACGCTTCTTGAACCTTTCCCAGACCGCCTTGGCAACCTCCTGAAATCATATAAAAGACTGTTGACGTAAAACCATGAACAATAGAAGGTGCTGGTGGAAAGACACAGTGCAGAAAGTCATTCTAAGTTAAAATACCTTATCGCTGACCATAAATGTTAACCTAACGCTAAATGTAACCCTAAAATTGTTCAAAATACCTACCCTTTTTCCATAGCCTTCCTTAGAAAGTCACCTACGCTGTGGTTGTTCCTATTCTTGTATAAGGATAAGGGATTCATATAAGTCGTCTTCATATTTAAAAAAACTCCCTATTTTGAAACAGACATACATGGCGCGAACTTGACTAAGACGTTCCTCTAATACCTAAAAGGGTCACCTGTGATTATTTATTATGAAACGGGTTTGCAGTAGACTAAGAATACTGACAGCGATTATCTAGTCCTTTAAAAAGGTTGAAGATTTTAATGGGACGTAGAAGAAAGTGAGTAAAGAGGCGGCCGACTCCATGGGAAAAAAGGATATAGATGAACTGGCATAAGACAAGTAGATGCAGCTTCGCAGTTGGAAGAAACACTTATAGAACATAATATATCTGCCAAATTTGTTCACCTCGTTTTTGAGGACCCTAGCATATGGCCGCGTTGATTTTGTATTTGGCCATCTAGAAAAAAGATTTTGCTCACTCATGCCAAGGAACGAAACAAGTAGACAATATATTTGACATATAGACTGTGTTACGTAGGCGGGAGTCCCAGTGCATTCACGGCAGTCGACGAAATGTGCCGCCCGGAATACGTCACGGCCTCATGCCAGACGCCCACGCCTGCGCATACGCCGTGAGCCAAGAAAGCCAGATAACCACCCACATAGCAGGCGCAGTGGGCGTAGTCGAGATTATTCCAGAATGCCTGGGAGCAGGCGATACGCTATGAGTATTCTGGAAATATCGGAACCGTATAAATATGCCGGAGTGGACAAGCTAGAGAACTCCGACGGACCGGCAGACACGGACGACTCCGACGACTTAGCGGACCCCGCACACCACGCAGTCTTAGTGTACTGTTGAATACATTCATTGCCTATCGGAACCGCCCTGTTGCCTTCTTAGTGGGGTTCGAAGAACTGGGCTATAACAACTGGCGACGCCGAACTAGCTGGGCTATAATCGACTGGCACATAGTACACTACCGTCGTCGTTTCGGTCGCGGTCCTATGTGTTCTTTGCAGGATTATCGCAATAGGAGGCGGGATGTTTGCTTTAATTCATTTATAGCAATTAGGGGATTGCACTGC